GTTCCACAAGCGCAGATCAACTGGGTGATTAGCAACCCTGAGACGGCGCGGCGTTGTGAAATTGCTCCGATGTTCGATCAGGCTTATCCCACTAGGTCGATCTCTCAGCTCACTATTCACGAATTCAATCCGGTGGTAGATAGTGGAGTGACTGTGAAGGCTGTGGCGAGGACTGTGGATGAGGAGCTCGAGACGACGTGTGAGCTTCGAGCTCCAGAGGAGAGGGAGAAGCCGAAGAGGTTTATTGCCGAGTTCACGCACAGCTTGCAGCCGCACCTGGAGGTACAGGAGACACACAAGGTTATTTTGGAGTGCAGCGTGCAGGCGCCGGAGGGTCCGGTGGAATTCAAGTGGTACCGCAGTGGAATAGAGATTTCTCCGGAGGTGTTTAGGGAGATAACGATTGAGAGGAGTGCAAGTCGCTCAATTCTCACCATTGAGCGTGTTGAGAAGAAGCACGAAGGACCAGTGACGGTAGAGGTGACATATCCGCAGGGCGAAAAATTGGTGAGCACTTGCGACCTCCATGTGGTGCCCCAGCAACCACTGACCGAGGTTGTGCTTCAGCCCGAGGAGAAGACACCTGCAAGTGTGCCACTTCGTCTTGTTCAGCCTCTTCAACCAAGAGTTGAGCCCGTTGCAGGGGAAGACGTGGTGTTGACAGCATCGGTTGAAGCCGTGCCACAGGCAGAAATCACCTGGACAATAAGCAGTCCGGAGACAGCTAAGCGCAGTGAGATAGTGCCTTTGGTAGATCAAGCGCACCCAACGCGCACGACATCGCAGTTGACAGTGCATGATTTCACACCACAAGTCGATGAAAGTGTGGTTGTACAGGCGATCGCTAGGACGCCGACGGAAGAGTTGGTTACAAGTTATGAGCTTCACGAGAGAAGGCCAACAATCAGTGAAGTTGTGATAGAAACTGGACCAATGCCGACGGCGCCGGCTGATAGGCCACAGGAGGTGGTTAGTAGAGTTCCCTTGCGATTTGTTCAACCATTGCAACCGACAGTGGCACCGAGCATTGGTGAGGAC